GAGTTTGGGTTAGAATTTTATCACAAATTTTTCATTTTAACAGTGTGTGTGTGTGTGTGTGTGTGTGTGTGTGTTTTACAGGTTCCTTCTGTGCTGATCCACAGACGATATGGGCTGTTACAGCTTCTGCTGAAAAGGCTTGATTTTTCCGCTCTTGCTGTACCATCCCATGCTTTTAGCTCTCGAGGCTCAATCCCGAATGTGTTGGCCATTAGATGGTGTGCGTGTGTGTGTGTGTGTATTTAAATCTCTGTGCGTAAAAAAGAAACAGGAAAATTGTCAAATCTATTTAAACTGCAAAAAAATATTTCAAAGTAGAAAATAATGTAGACTGTTCAGGGCATTTTTTCCCTTCTCTTTAAAATTAGAAAAAAACCCACCTGTCCATATTTTAAAAAAACAGGACCCTAAATCCAGATTTAGGGTCCTAAATAGGTGATTGGAATTTTCTAATTTGCTGAGCCCCGAACAGCTCCTGTTGAAATCAATGAGAACAGTTGGACACACAGCATTTTTGAAAATTATGTTATTTACTCTTACGAGCCTGACTTATGGACTTGGGAGCCATCAAGTTCCTATATTTTAAAATCTTGGCCTGTAAAAGATCTGCTGTATGTTTGTTTCTTTTCTTGTCCAAAGGCCAGATGCTCCTGCCACTGTACAGAGTGAAATAAGCAGAGAGGCAGAAAAATAGTTGGAAAGGCCCCAATTTGGAATTGAGGGGGAGGTGCCTGGCAGGAGTAAGTGAAGACTGGGGAGAGGATGCTTCATACAGCAAGCTGCGTTAGAAGGTCTGAAATTCTCTGGCAAATAGCTGTAGCAGACTAGCTGTTAATGCTGACTAGGTGAGCACTACCCTCCCCCTGACGCAATAAGGTTTGCATGCTAGAGCTTGGCAAATAATGAAAAAAACGCTGCTAATATTGTTAATTTGTAAAATGAACTTGCTTCAGTCACGCTCACGTCCCTGTCGTATTCACTTTCTGTGAACATTCACGTGATCACGTTTGCAGACATATTTGTTCATCTGCAGGTAATCATAGAAACTGAATGTGAAATTTGCATGTGCAGGTATTCACACCAGATGCTGATGCACACAGTCAGGGAAGAGGAACGATATCATGTGGCTTACCTGACGAGTCACAACTAAGCATCACAGCTCCAGTTTTATATATTCATGATCACTCCTGAGACTAAAATAATTTGGCCAAACACACACACTTGATCAATAACAAATAAAGTGGAGAAATCTGCACTCTGGCTGTGGGCATTCTGTTAGCAGAAAAAAAGAATGATTTGTTACACATTATTATGGTACGAATGATTTGTTACACGTTATTTGCTCAACTCTCATGTGTTTTTCTTTCTGTCCACATGCGGGAAAGTACAGTGTATTCCAGTTCTTTACTGAGGGACAGGATGTTAATTCTTAAAGTAACTGAAGAACAGGCACTCAACAACATCCCTGAATAATGTGTGTGCTTTCTTTATAAGCTTGCTTCTGTTTCGTAACCTTTAAAATGTGGATTTTATGAGTGACATCATTAAAATTTATACTCCCTCTAGAATGTGATGTTCATCATTATTGCTCCACTGTGCCTCTGGATCACCTGTCTGCATTGTGATGTAGCGTTCCACAGGACTAAAATTCTGATCTCTGTTCCACTGGTGTAAATCCAGAGTAACTTCATTATTTTCCATGAAGTTCAGTGGCTGGAACTGAGATCAGAATCTGGCTCTTTATGCTTTCAATGGAAATTTAAAAGGTTGCTATGAGTAACTATATATTTCTAGAAATGAAATATGAAGTGCCTTTTGAGCTTTGAGTATAGATATTAAGAACAAGAAACTGCCACAGAAGGCTTGTTTTCAGATGCACTATATTTCTTTGTTTTAAAATATTCTAGATTTTGTCAGGCCCAGAATCCAGGGCAGTTCTGAAACTCTTGCACCTACCACATTCACATTAATTTCCACAGGAATTTTAGGTGCTCATGGAATGAGGTATTGGGGCCATTACATATTGTATAAAATTTCATATTACACTGAAGAGAGAATACTTAGTAAGAGACAAACCTAAATACAAAGGTTACAATTTTTTGAAATTGACTAGTGATTTTAGATGCATCAATTTGGGGTGCCCAATTTGATACACTTTTTAAAGGAACATTTAGCAGGAAGTGCTGAGCACCCATACTTAAAAAAATCAGGCTCCAGGTGGACACCCTAAAAATTAAGGCACCCAAAATCACTAGTCACTTTTGAAAATATTGGCCAGATTTTGCAAAGTAAAAGGTCTTTAAAACAAATGAATTGGCAAAAGGGAGTGATTGAGCAATAGTGCATTGGGCCATTACAGTTAAGGCACAAGGCTTTTGTTGCTTCTTTGTGATGCATAAAGATAACCTCAGATTTTTTGTATATGGAAAAGTTGTTTTGCTTGTGATTTTTGCATTAGAAATATGAAGTATTGACTTCCCCCTTTATGCTAAAGGACTATCTAGTAGATTGCAGCTAGTGGAAATAGGACATCACAAGAACTCAGAACAGAGCAAACCAAAGCAGGGGTCACCCAATGAAATTAATAGGCAGCAGGTGTAAAGCAGACATAAGGAAGTACTTTTTCACACAGTCAACCTATAAAACTCCTTGCTAGAGGATGTTGTGAAGGCCATAAGTATAACTGGGTTCAAAAAGAATAAAATAAGCTCATGGGGAATAGGTTTATCAATGGATATTAGCAAGTTGGTCACTAAGGCAACCCCATGCTCTGGGTGTCCCTAAACTTCCAATTGCCAGAGGCTGGGGCCAGAAGACAGGGGATGGATCACTCAATAAATTGCCCTGTTCTGTTCGTTCCCTCTGAAGCATCTGGCACCAGCCACTGTTGGAAGACAGGATACTGAGCTAGATGGACCATTGGTCTGACCCAGTATGGACATTCTTATGTAACATGAGCTATGGTTTCCCAGCTTTCATTCAGAGAAGATGTGTAGTTGACATAAAAAAAGAAGTCCATTTTGTCAAAAACCCAATTTCCCATTGAAAAAAAGCTTAGAAAGAAAATTCTCAGCCAGCCATATTTAAAGCACCCAGGATTGCTGACATGTTGTCTAAAGTTCTCCCTGTTGCTATCACTGGTGAAGCCTGGTGTGGAGTTTTAGCAAATATTTCCTTTTTGCAGAGTTAATATCCCCTCTCCTCCAATTGAAGAAAGAGTATTTAGTAAGAGACAAATCTAAACACAAAGATTAAGCTGAGAAAGCAGCCGATCCAGGTTTCACGAATCCAGTAGTTTCTCAGTCTTTTAGTAAAACCAGGAAACAGTCTGTCAGAAATGCAGAAAGGCATGCCTATGTAATCATGCATTAAATATTCATGTCTTTTAAAGGTTCATGATCCTTGAATGTAAATTGAACCTTATAAGTCTTGCCTTGTTCCTGTGTGATCCTTGCACTGTTACTGGTATGAGATTCCTGATATCAGGATACTTTTTTTTAAAGTTATCAAAGCTGCTTTTATACATAATAAAAGAGCAGTAAACTATAAGAAAAAAAAAACATTGTCCCCCTTGGCAGTTCACCCTAAGAAAACAGAGCCTGGGAGGAATTAATTGTACAGATGTCTGAAAGCTGTGTATGTTACTGTCAGGGTGCCAATCTAGAATGCATAGTTGTGACAGCATCTTATGTGGTCATAATAGAACATTTAAGGGGTAATGGCTGATAGGGGTGGAATTTCCTAGAAATTTTACTGACTGGCTTAATGGAGTTATTTGCTTCAGACTCTTAGCTCAGCTGGTCATTGAATAATAGGAAGTGCTGCTTGACCTGGAGATCGTTGCTTTTGTAAACTCAGGAAGTATTAATGTGTAAAGGGGAAATAAAATAATTACTACCTTAAGTGTGGAAAAGTTAAAAGTTTGTCTGCATATTGCTTTGGATATCGTGTTTATAATAATAATCCTAAGAGTAGAAGGGCTGGCTCCAGCAACCCTTGCTCCCGTGAATTATCCTTGCTCATGCAGTAGTGTCCTGTTATTTTCAGGGAGACATCTCATGTGAGAAAAGGCTGCAAGGTCAGAGCTCAGTAGCATAGTAACAAACAGGAAAGTAGGACAGCATCTCAATTTTCTGTTTTGATTTATGGCATAAAGTATTCTTTGGAGAAATTTAATGTCTTAACCTGCAGCTATAGCCGAGTAAGTGAAGTGCAAGAAATATTCCATATTGTCAAATTTGTCCAAGTTTTGCAGTCAACGACAAAAATCAAGATTCCCTCTCTGCTCCTACCTCCAAAGTATTCATTCTCTCAGCAATTACTTATATACTAAATTCCAACCTGGATTATAAATGTTTCCAAAATAGTCAGTAACCTAAATGGTTCTTGTAGGCACTTTTAACAGCACCGTGTTTTTAGTGTAGAAATGGGGACACTACTTATTACAAAGACCTAGATTCTGCCATTCTTAGTAAAGTCGAATAGTACCTTTCTCTTGGGTAGTCCTCTTTTCATCAATGTGACCGTTCATTGAGTAAGGTAATGCACAACATGAACAAGAGGGGCAAAATTTTAACAGTTGTTTTATGCCATTTATACTTACTGAAATATATGTTTGGGATTCCCTCTTATAATGGGAAACATGAGAGGGAGACGAGGTGGGAATGGGACATTGAAGCAGATTAAAGACGGGTGATTTCAGGTTTTGAAACAGGTTAATGCTTTCCAAATTAGGGGAATATGAAATTGAAAGTGAAGGGCACGCTCCTTGTTGGGGGAAAGCTTTAGAGTGGTCCTAATGCAGAATCTCATTAAAGCAACTGTCAGGATTCCTCTATTTTACCATCACCTCCCCAGTCTGTAAGAAGCAACTGTCATTTTGAGTGAGAGTACTGCCAAAGAGGCATTTACAAATAAATGAAAAATGTCACAATTGATTTTGCTCCTTCCAGAGGACTGTGTCAGCTTTGTCACAAACTGTCTTTGTTATTCTGTTTCAGATTTCTCAGTTGGACATTGGAAATAGCTTTTGATGGTTCTGGGCTTCTTTCATGTGACCCAGGGTAAGACCTCGGTCTGTGACCTTTCATTAATATTTGTGCAACAGTTTGGGCCATTGGTAAAGAGTGTGTTATTTTCTCCTCTTTGAGCATCCAACAGGCAGGATTGCCAATGTGTGCAAATCAGAAATGTAGGAAGTCGTACGCATTTGAAAATGTTACCAAAATAAATTGTTTCTTCCCTGCAGAAATATGTATCAGTGTGATGATTATTCAGAGGAATATATATTGAAACAACATGCTATTCATATAAAAGGCACATGGCTATACTTTTCCTTTGTTACCAAGGAACTTAAAGCCATATTCCTAAATTGTTAACATTCTTTCCCTCAGATGTTGCATATTATGCCTAATTCTTTTACAGTGCACTTTTCTGTAAGACATTCTTGCTGTGCATATCCTTGCTTGTAAATATCCGAGAATGAGCAAGTTCTTATTCTTCCTAATGTGTTCTGGCTAGATAAGTAGGCTAGTGGGGTATTATCGATTTAAAAAGGCTTTTATTGGAAAAGTCTGAATAATGTAAGAATGCAAATCCTTCCTGGAACTCGAGTTTGAAGAATTATTGGAAACAGTCCTCTGGAGTCTCTGGACCACCATTGTCATTTCAATGAAGCTCATATCTAAGTAGTTATTTTGCTCTTTGCACTTTACTTTGTGCTTTTAGGAATCAAAAGTACAGAATGCATTTTGCTAAAATTACGATGCCAGGACAACCTCAACTGAAATTCTGCTAATGATTCTTTCTATAGATATTGTATATGGGCTCATAATGCTAGAGCTTAAATGTAACCTTACCTGGGTGACATGTGTTTTCTAGCTTTATGCATTTTCTGTATGTGTTTAGTGTTCTGGTGGTGAAGTGCAATGGAAATCATGTATAGTAGCTACAGTTTGTAACAAACCGTAATACCAAGAGGAAGTAGGGGGACCAGACAGCAAGTCAGAAAAATTGGGATGGGGGGGGGTAATAGGAGCCTAGATATGAAAAAGCTCCAAATATTGGGACTGTCCCTATATAATCGGGACATCTGGTCACTCTAAGAGCAAGATTTATGACGGTATTCCCAATGACTTTCAAGTGCTAAGCAAAAAACCAACAGCAAGTGTTTGTAGCATTGGATTATAAACAGTTTCCTGTTAATATATCTATATCTACTGCATCTATTTTGAAAGTTTACCTCGAACAAAGACGTGTGTGTGTGTATGTGTGAGAGAGCATCATCCACAGAATATATATTTTTTTAGAAGGATGGCGTCAAGAGAAAAGTGACTTCATCTGAAATTTCCCCCTTATTACCAAGAACACCCTATTAAAATGGAAAGAATTTTAGGTCCTAGTCATCCTTTTTTGTACATCTAGAACTCCTACGGAGTCCAGTGGGAGACTGGATTATACAAGGTAAACATAATCAGGCTTCTGATTTGCTATTTGATTTTCATGCTGGTGTGTTTACTTCCTGTACTTCATTCACCTTGGTCAGTGAAAATAACTTGGTTAGTTTCGGTTTTGTTAATAAAAGCAGTAAAATGCTACTATTTCTGAAATGCCACATTTGTACATGAATAACTGTCAGTCCTGTTTGTTTAAACTGGGGAAAGACCCCAGCTGTCCCTTCCTAATTAAGCTTTGACACAAAAGCATCACTTTCACAGTTAGTTTCAGTTTCCCCTTTCTCATATACTTGCACAGTGGTGCTGTGTTTGGGTTCTCACAGACCCAGGGAATTACGTTAAAAAGAAACACGTTTTGGTTAATTAAAATTAAGTACCTAAAACAGATTTGAAAATATTTATGTTTAAAACAATTTTTGTAACTTCCTCTTTTTTGATTCAAGTACTTAACAGTTTAAAACTGTTTTCTTGGACAGACACCCTGGGCTGAGTGCTCAGTACGTCCTTGAGACCAGAGTCTCCAAGAGAGTCATGGTATGATGCTGTGAGCTACTTACTGTTACTTTCAGTACCTGTAAATTAGGAGAAAATCTGAGATGTGAAGCAGGACTAAGGACAGAAAAGATCTCTCCCAGTGCAAAGACTGATGAAATAGTAATAATCGGACATTGTAAGGTTGATGCACTGATATAATGAATCAAACTCTCTCTCTCTATATATGTACACACTGATCTAATGAATCAGTCTACAGTACCTAAGAAAATTGGAGGGGGGGGGGGAGAGAAGATGAAAATACCATAATGTACAACACTGTCAATTGCAAACCCGAGAAAACATTTGACTTTTAACGTTACAGTAAAATGGTTTTTATGCAAATAGAAATAGAGAAACATAAAAATGTGAGCAAGTATTGCTCAAAGAAATCTAGGCAATTCTTCTATAGTGTCCTGAATGATAGAAAGGCCATGGCAAACCATGATCTGGCAAATGGGCAGCAGCTCAAACTTTGATATGTGAGTCTCCTAATAAAGTAGTGATATTTAGCATCACAATATTACCTGGAATTATACTGAAATTGAATTGTCCCAGCCAGTCAGAATGAAGGGGGAGAGCTGTAATGAACTGTTGCATATAACTCCATGGGTTTCCCCTCCCAACCATATGTGCAATTCTCTGAGCTGCAGTTGGCTGTACATTGATAATGTAGTTATTTCTCAATAACAGCATTGTGCAGTTCGAGGAACTTGTGATTAGTTGGTGACCATCACTAGTATGAACCAGTCACTTAACATGATCACTGTGGACTAAGTTCTGACTTGTACTATGCAAGGGTAAGGGATTCAGAGGGAAAAAGAATTCCCTTAATATCTCTATATGGCTACCCAGACCCAGGAGTAATAAGACTAGTCTCTCCCTTGGCCTTCCATGAAGTAGGTAGGCAGGGCATGAACCAGGAAAGACAAGGTGAAAGAGGCTTGGCTCTACCAACCCCTCACTGGCCAGTGCGGCTGAGCCAGTGTGTAGGGAATAGTAATTTATTGCTAGTGTAGCCCATCAGTAAGTAACTACCTGCCAGGAGCAAGGAGGGAGATGAGAGGAAGTTGTGACTCAGAGCTATGTCTTTGATTTAGGGTTTTCTGAGCCCATTCCTGGCATGGTGTAACTTACAAGCACCCCCTTTGCACAGGGTGTGTCCGAAGTCACAATCTAGCCCTGTCTGGTTATTTTTCAATAATTGTACTGTGCCCGTGCAGTGTGTATGCTATATGTGGCTATTCTTACTGGCTGCTAAAATTCCTTTATTCTGACTGGCTCTTGTAATCAGAATATCCAGGCTGTTTGCCAGCAGCGAAATATGTTCAGATTTTTCTTAGAGTGAAGAAAAAAAAAATCCTAAAAGCTATGAAAGTGGATCTGTCCAAGCTCTGAAGGGGAAACTGTTTAAAAAAACCAAAAAGTTAAATTCTTCGACTTATCTTACTCCTTTTTATCTGTCTCCTCTTTCTGTCTCTAAAACTCAACAGAGTTTTTTTCCCTGTGAGAATTACTGGAATATGTGTCATTCCCATTTGTCTTCCCAGTCTTTTTATCCTAATTCACAGATGCTATGTAAATACAAAAATAATAATAAAAAAATACAGCTGTTCTGGGAATAAGGGGTTGCTTCACAGTAGGAAAAGAAAGGAACTGGAGAAGGGAAATAAGAGAGAAGAGGCTGGAAAGGGGGAAGATGAGGATGTGACACTGGCAGACCATGTGCCTGCTCTTGCCAAGGCTTTAGGCCTCAGCTGAGCACTGACAAATTTGTTGCTGGAAACCAGTCCAGCTCACCTGTGTGTTAGCATGGTTAACATGGGTATTGGACTTATAACAATGTGTTTAGACTTTATGAAATGCCTGTACATTGCTACATGTATTAATCCTACTTATAATGTCTGTATCCCATGCTATAAGATAATGCTGAAGTGTTTGTGCTATAGCTGTAAAATGTTTGTTCTGAACTATGTAGCTCGCCAAACAAGGAAAAACTGTACCTTGTGCAAAATGCTAAATCCCTATGAAAGGTATTACCTCTTGCACATCAGGAAGGACTATCAAAACTAAATGGGCCATTGTGGGACATCACAGTACAAAGATTTTGCTAATTGCCCCTGTACACCCATGAAGAGGCAACCTGCAAAAGGGCTCGTCCCATCAGTGTGAATGTTGGAAGAAGGAAATAAAGATACCAGACAAGAAACTTTTTCATCTCTCTTTTACTGTTTAGACTCTGACAGGGCTGCAGCTACAGAACAGAAGCGAAGATCTCCAGGGTCAACCTGGGTTAGCCCTAAAAGACATTCAGTGCTGACAGATTATTACAACTCTGTCATTTTATGGAACCATAGACTGTAATTTATGTATATATATTTGCCTGCTTTAACCTGTAAATAACTCTCTCATTTCTTTTTTCCTACTTAATAAATCTTTAGTTAGTTTACTATAGGATTGGCTACAAGCATTGTCTTTGGTGTGAGATCTAATAAGGTACCAATTGACGTAGGGTAAGTGACTGATCCCTTGGGACTGGGAGTAATCTGAATTTTGGCGTGACTTTTGTTGTAAGTGACCATCTGTTACATAATCCATCTTTTCTGGGTGGCAAGATAGACTGGAATGTGCAAGGGGACTGTCTGTGACTCCATGGTAAGACTGATACAGTGCTTTGGGAGTTCACACTTGTTGCTGGGTTGGTGAAATCTATAGAACATACAACCAGTTTGGGGTTTCCATCCTGCTTTTTGACACTCTGCCCTGAGGTTGGCACTCACAGTCATGAACCACTCCAGACAGTGTGACAGAGGAGATGGGGAAGGAAGAGCCAGAAGGATATAACTTTTACTTTAGGGCTGGTTCATGACCCTGTTTGTTTGTGGTTTTTTCTCCCCTTCATTTAAAATGGCAATATTGAATTAAAATTCCTGACTGTTAATAAGACTTTGAGGGTCATTTTGGTTAAAATAAGGCCAGATTCTGCCACTCTCATTCACGGGGAGTAGAATCTTGGTCCATGAATGAGTTTTGACTTCAGTGGGACCATCCATGAAAGGGTATTGTTCAACATGAAA